TCAATGCTTAAGAGCTAGAACATGTCGAAGGAATTTTGGGGAGAAGATGTACAATTTGCAATCTACGTTCAGAATAGATGTCCATATTCGAAGTTGGGAGATTTAACACCTCAAGAAGCTTGGAGCGGCAGAAAGCCAATTGTGTCTCACTTCAAAGTGTTTGGAAGTGTGGCTTATGCACATGTACCTGATCAAAGAAGAACAAAGTTGAAAGATAAGAGTCAGAAATACATACTCATTGGGTATGATGAGAAAACGAAAGGTTACAGACTTTTCAACCCAATAAACAAAAAGGTGATAGTGAGTAGAGATGTTCGAGTAAACGAAGGAAGCAAGTGAGACTGGATAAATTCGACTGAAGTTATGGTTGAATTATCAGGTGCTATATCGAAAAACACTTCGACAGAACTAGAAGACTCTGATGGCGAAGATGGAATCTCACAGCCCAGACTGCGAAGTTTACAAAACTTGTATGAAAACATAGAAGAAGTGCATCTCATATGTTTGTTGGCAGACACTGAAGATGTCAGCTTCGACGAAGCAGTAAGAAACAAAAATTGGAAGGATGCTATGAATGAAGAAATTAAGGCCATCGAACACAATGATACTTGGGAACTAGCAGAGCCACCAAAAGGAAGTCAAACAATTGGTGTGAAGTGGGTGTTCAAGAAAAAGATAAATGCACAAGGTGAAATCAAAAGATACAAGGCGCGACTTGTGGTGAAAGGATACAAGCAGAAAGCAGAAATAGACTATGATGAAGTGTTTGCACCTGTTGCAAGAATGAAGACAATTAGACTGCTCATATCTCAAGCTGCTCAATACAAATGGAAAATATATCAGATGGATGTCAAGTCAGCTTTTTTGAATGGCATGCTTGAAGAAGAAGTTTATGTCGAACAACCACCTGGATACATGAAAGTCAAAAATGAAGGAAAAGTGCTAAAGCTAAAGAAGACACTTTATGGGCTGAAGCAGGCACCACGAGCATGGAATACACGAATTGACACATACTTCAAAGAAAATGGATTTCAGCAATGTCTCTACGAACATGCCCTATATGTGAAGAAGAAAAATGAGAAAACATTGCTTGTTGCCCTCTATGTCGATGAGTTAATTTTCTTGGGCAACAATAATCAGATGATAGAAGAATTCAAAGGCACAACGACACAAGAATTTGAGATGACTGACTTAGGCCTGACGACATACTTTCTTGGTCTAGAGGTTCGACAAGAAGAAACATGAATCTTTATCTCACAAGAAAAATATGCAAAAGATATCCTAAAAAGATTTAAAATGGAAAGCTGCAATCTAATTTTGACACCAATGGAACCATGAGCAAGACTTTCTAAATTTGATGGGGGAGAGCGTGTCGAAGAAAACAAATTTTGAAGCTTGGTGGGAAGTCTTCGATACCTCATATGCACAAGGCCAGATCTTTCGCTGAGTGTTGGAATTGTGAGTCATTTCATGGAAGAACCAATTTTTGCACACTGGAAAGCTCTAAAGAGAATCCTTCGATATGTCCAAGGAACTGTGTCACTTGAAATGTTTTATTCAAAAGAAGAAGAATACAAGTTGACTGTCTACTCTAACAGCAATTGGTGTGGTGACATAGATGATTGAAAGAGCACTTCAGGATATGTGTTCTTCACGGGAAGCACTGTATTCACCTGGCTGTCAAGGAAGCAACCCATAGTAACTCTTTCGACCTGTGAAGCAGAGTATATGGCAGCATCTTGGTGCGTATGTCATGCAATATGGCTAAGAAGATTGTTGAGCAGCATGGAGTCGAAATAGGAAGATGCAACAGTAATTCAAGTCGACAGCAAATCTGCAATCGAATTGGCGAAGAATCCAGTCAACCATGAAAGAAGCAAACACATTGATGTTCGATTCCATTTTATTCGAGAACATGTGAAGGATGAAAGCATCAAACTGAAGCACGTTGCGAGCAAGAATCAAGCAGCAAACATTCTTATAAAATCACTGTCGAAGGAGCTATTCGACAGAGGCAAGAAAATGTTAGGCATGATGGATCGAAGAAATATTTGAATTTATGGGGGAGTTTTGTCGGTTAAATTCAATTCTGCATTGGGTAATGCAAAAGACAAATTTTCTTTAGACAGTGAGAAGTTTATTCCTTTGGGACCTAGAAATAGTTAATGTTGTAACATTTAATATTCTATCTTATGATTTCTATATAAATCACTTTGTACTCATATCAAAAGTTAGTTGGACAATTTATAAAAAAAAACAAGTTTAAAGTGCACTCCCATTTCTCTTCAAATTGAAATAAAGCTTAATCCACCAATACCGCATCTACCACAAAATTTGCTATCAATGGCCCTGTTTCAACAGTGTGTCAACTTTATCTTCACTTATGTTATTGCACATGATTTTGTCTCAATGCTTTGTTATTTCAAGTAAGGTTTCTTCTTTTTCTTCTCTGGATGGATCATGATATTCTAAGAAGATGCAAGGGACAAACTGTATAATACACGTGAGCATGCTCGTGAGTTATTAGCTAATGGGAACTTTGACATCCCTGAAGAGTCATCCTTCACAAATATTGAGCATGTATTTTCCTCAAAACTGTCCAATACAGTGTTAAAAGAAGACGACAATGTTGAGCATGTATTTTCCTCAAAACTGTATGTATAATACACCTGAGCATGCTTGTGAGTTATTAGCTAATAGGCATGATGAAACTCTGTCATCAACTTCTGTATAGAGTCCTTGGATTATTGAAGATGAAAGGGAAGCATTTAGGCCAGGATATTTTGGATGCTCAACTTGGTTGCGGTTACCAAGCGAGATTGATTAATCTATAAAAGGGGTATGGGATTTGAACGGTGGTCTGTATGTCATTTTCACATAAAAGATGTGTTTTGTAACTTTATTTGCGTATTTGTTCTGCATAAATTTATTGAAGAAGTCCTTGAAACAATTGAGCTAGATGATATAAATGATAATTTAGTTGGTATCGCTGGTCAAAGTGGCTTATCTATCGAGCAACGTAAAAGGCTAATCATAGCAGCAGAGGTTGTATCCAATCGTTCAATAATTTTTATGGATGAACCTACATCATGTTTGGATGCTCGAGCTACTGTAGTTACGCGTGCAGTGAAGAATGTTGTGAATAATCTATGATCGTACACCTACGAGTGCAAGTCCAAGATTTAGTTTATGACAAAACTCATGAAGCATTGGTAATAAACTGTCACATGATGCTTCATTACAGAAGAAACTCTATATACAAGTATTGGCTTTCACACCATTTCTTGTCTCTCCATTTTTCTTTAGTAATTGCAAACTTTGTGTTTTTTAGAGTTCTGGAGGAATGCCATGCAACTTACTTGGATGTTTATTCCTATTGAATCAACTACTCCTGGTATATAATCTAACAACTACTCCTTTATTTCCATCATCTATGTCTTTTGGAATATTATACTACTTTGCAAATAAAGTGTTGATTAATTTTTCAGTATTCTCAATTAAGATGTCTCTTTAATTAATTTTATTCATAAGGTTTTACAATCAGTGTAAAATTTTGTTTCATCTATTTTTACTTCTGATTACTTGAAGCAACTTCATACAACTTATTTAGAAATTGATGCACTAACTTTTTCTCTGTTGATTAAATCAACTTCTAAATAGACAGCTTATGCACAACTTATTTTAACTTAGTAGATATAATCAATTATATAACTATATATCTACTGCAATTATATATCATCATAATACACATTTCTGATGATTTTTTGGTTCCTATATGTACTTAGGCTATGTATAATGGGGGTGTTGAATTTTTCCCCTCTAACAGTTGAATGCTTACAATGAGGTGTTGAACAGAGTGCTGAATGCGAGGTGAATTAATTTGTGTTGAAAACATTCAACATGTTAAATGAGAAAAGAGTGGATTCACATAAAATACTTTGACAAATTCTTATCGGTTATTGTGAATATTTAAAATTTTATCTCATCTTAATTATTTAGAGTCAATTATTTTATAGTAAATTAATTTTTTATTTATTTTCATTTTAACCAAAATTCATTATTTTTTTGTCTATAAATAAATACTTGGTTCATTTGATTTGGACATAGAAAAAAATTCACTTTTTTCTATTTAATTGTTTTATTTAGCCTCAAATAAATTCTTATTTATAACTCTAAACGTTTTTTAGTGAATATAAAATTAGAAAAAAAATCAGATAAGTTATTAAATTAGAAGAAAAAATTAGAAAAAATTATTTAACACTTAATTATTTTAATTTAATTTTAATTAATAATTAATATTAATATATAATCATTAAAAAAATATAAAAGAAAATAAAAATATGAAATAAAAGTAATAGAATAGGGTGTTGAATTTTATTAAACAAAACCATTGCAGTGATTAAAAGTTAAATAAATATTAAATTATTAGGTGAAAGAAAGAGAAGATGACTGAAATATAAAAAGTAAAAAAGAAAGGCGTTAATAATAAAACTATTGTAGATAGTCTTTCAATAACAAAAGTAATTCATTGGGAACTGTTTCATGCAACTTTTTTTGGATCATATTATATTCATCCAACAACTTTCATTCAATATAAAATCGTTTTCCTCCTAGGTATATAATCTATCGACTTTTTCCAATTTTATCCTGTCATCATCATTTTGTTTCTTCTGGACAGATATACCACCTATCAGTTTCTCTACGGATCCAACTTTTTCAAACCTTCAAATTTTCAAATTTTCTTTCTAGCTTTTTCAAACAGTTATGAGAAAAAAGAAATGAGGATTTCTTAATGTACCCCTTGAATCTCTTAGCCACCTGGCGAAATTTCAATTATGCCCCTGCTTCCGTAGATACATATCCAGAAGCACCTTGATTTGCAAAAAAAATTATTTTCTTCCGTAGATGCATCTACAAAACAGTCTGTTATATTTTCAAATCATATTCATTTCACTCCAAAACTGTTGGGAAGTAATAATAATGATATTACTTCTAAGAAAATGTACAGAGATATCATCAACCAGTTAGTGAAAATGTATCAGGAATCTCAGTTGGACAACCACATATCTGTTTACGATGGAAGAAAAAGCTTATTTACTACTAGGGTGTTACCTTTTAACTCCAAGGTTTTTGTGGTTAACTTGACTGATGAAAATAGAGGATCCACTTCTGATTCTTTTGATTGGTGAATTTGCTGCAATTGAGTTAGTAATGGGTTAATATGGATATAATTTAGTAATAGGTAGGAATGGATTGTTGATTTTGTCTCTGTCACAGGAAAAAGCGTGAGCGGGAGTTTAAGGTTACTATACAGTTTTCTTCCAAGACGGATCTCTACCACCTTACCCAGTTTCTCCGTCGTATGCAACCAGATTGTCCTTATGAAACCATTCAAGCTCTTGACATTGCTTTAAGGGCAACTCCATCTGAGTAGTAGAGTTTTTTTTTTGAGTAAGGTGGAATTGAGTATTATAAAGGCTTTTATCAAAGCATTAGGCCAACCCAAATGGGGTTTTTCCTTAACATAGATTTTAGCTCTAAACATTACTATTATTTATCTGATTGAATAATCTTCAATTGAATCTAATTTACAGTCTTTGACAAGTGATACATTCCATTATCAAAAGAACATCTTCAACTGTCAAAGAGGCCAAATTTGAGGATAATTTTAAATGCTCAATGACAACTTGATAACTTCTACTTACATCAACTATCACTCCTAGCAACTTGAGCTCTTCTTTGTAATTATATATTTCTCATCAAAATAAGAATGATCAATGAAAGGGATGTTACTAGTTTGTGACGCAACTTGCCATCCGGAATCATTCAAGACAGATCCCACAGGAGACTTAAATTTGATTTCATAATTTGAGTATAGCAAGATGAGTAAAGCATTAATTTAATTTACTCACTACGCCAAAAAGGGCTTTTAACAACGCACATTAGACAACGCTTTTATACAAAAGGGTTTCTATAAGTGAAATTTAAAAAAACACGGAAACTGTATACAATAATAAATAAAAGCGCTGCTAAAATATGACCTTAGACAGCGCTTTTAAAAAGTGCTACTAAAAGTGTTGCTTTATAAGACCACTTTAGACAACACTTTTCAAAAGCGCTGTTTAAAGTCATATAACTTAAAAATAATAATAATCTCAAAAGCGCTGCTAAAGGACCACATTAGCCAGCGCTTTTTAAAAGCACTGCTAAAGGCCCATATTAGTCAGCGCTTTTCTCAAAAGCGTTGTCTAAAGTCATATAATTAGAAATTAAAAATTAGAATAAGTATTGTTTCTCTTTTCACATATCGAATTCCCTCCTCACGCGAAACCCTTTTCAACGTCTCTCTCTCCACCACCGTCCGCCGTCCTCCACCGTCTCTCTGCAAAACAAGACTCTCTCTCCACCACTGACCGCCGTCCTCCACCGTCACTTTTAAGGTACTCTTCTCTTTCTCTCTGCGAAACCGTTGGTTTTATGTTTTAATTCATTTGTCCAGAAAATATAGTTTGATGATTCAAAATGGCAGGATTTATTTCTATTTCTCATGACTGGAAAATATTAACATCCAATTCAACATTACTGATTCTTGTTGTTTGTAGTATTTCAAATGTGCTTGCACACTACAAGATAAAGGCTCTCCAACCACGTGATTTTGCCACGTGATTTTCATGTGACTAAATAAAGCCAGTTGCGACGTGAAAATCACGTGGCAGCATGTTTTACTAATAAAATAAAGAAGTATGTAGTTTGTCAGTCTTTTTTTTTTTAAAAAAATGTTGCGACGTGGGATTCACGTCGCTACTAAAAATACAATAAAAAATAATTAAATTACTATAACGTTTAGATATTTGTCATTTTTAAATTTTGAAAAAGTAAGTTGTGACGTGTTTTTCACGTCGCAACATTTAAGAGGGAAAAATCACAGTTTTCCAGACTGACGTGTTCAGGTTTTGAAGGATGTGAAGAAAGAGAAAATAACTGTTGGGATTGTTGCGACGTGAAAATCACGTGGCAACGTTGCAGCGTGATTTTCACGTCGCTACATGCTTTATGTATTTCTCAAACACGCTCCACAAACAGACAGTAGCGTTAATATATTTCAAGAACTTCTTCTTCAACCCTCCTCCTTCCATCCCTCCATAACCATTTTCTTGTTTATAAAATTTGTTCTTCTCCAATATTAAATCCCTTCAATCTCCAATAATTATTGTTTTAAGGTAAATTCAATTCAATTTTTTCTGTATTTTGTTAACAGCTTTTTATTTATTGTATTATTGGATGTAATTTTTTTTTTCAATTTTTCTTTGAATAGAAGAAAATTGATAGAAGTAGATTGCAAAAAGGGACAAGAAGATTGAAGGAGTTACAAGATAAAAGGTATTTCTTGAATTTTTTTTTTTGAATTTAGTATATTTTCTGAACTTGATTAATTTTTAGGTTGAATTTGGGTTATATTTTCTGAATTTGGGTTAAATTTTAGGTTTAATTATTTAGTTTATAATAATTATTAATTATTAATTTGTGATGAATAACAATTATAATTATTAATTTATATAGTAACGTTAGAGATAAATTTTAAGTGTTTAAATTAAATTTTTAGGAGTTTATAAATTTTAAGTGTTTAAATTAAATTTTTAGGAGTTTAAGTGTTTAAATTTTTAAGAGTTTATAAATTTTAAGTTTTTAAATTAAATTTTAAGTGTTTAAAAATAAATAAACATTTTTAGGAGTTTATAAATTTTAAGTGTTTAAATTAAATTTTTAGGAGTTTAAGTGTTTAAATTTTTAGGAGTTTATAAATTTTAAGTGTTTAAAAATAAATAAATATTTTTAGGAGTTTATAAATTTTAAGTATTTAAATTAAATTTTTAGGAGTTTAAGTGTTTAAATTTTTAGGAGTTTATAAATTTTAAGTATTTAAATTAAATTTTAAGTGTTTAAAAATAAATAAATATTTTTAGGAGTTTATAAATTTTAAGTGTTTAAATTAAATTTTTAGGAGTTTAAGTGTTTAAATTTTTAGGAGTTTATAAATTTTAAGTGTTTAAATTTTTAGGAGTTTATAAATTTTAAGTGTTTAAATTAAATTTTAAGTGTTTAAAAATAAATAAATATTTTTAGGAGTTTATAAATTTTAAGTGTTTAAATTAAATTTCTAGGAGTTTAAGTGTTTAAATTTTTAGGAGTTTATAAATTTTAAGTGTTTAAATTAAATTTTTTTGTCTTAACTGAAAATATTTTTTTTTGGATGAACTATTTTAATAGAATGTTGTTAAGTCTAATAAGTTAGAATTAGAAAAAGTATAATATGTTTTTTGAAAGCATATATTTATCTTTAACAGTATATGTTTAGGATTATTATTAAGTTGATTAATTAATATTTCTAATTAAATAGGTTTTGATTATATAAATTTGCAGTAAATGGAATATTATAGGTATTATCGTAGTTGGATGTACGATAGACTATATCCAGGAAGACACGCACTTAAACCCAATTTTATAGACGGAGTTAATGGTTTTATCACGTGGACGTTTGCTCAAGAACGTTGTCGAAGTGAAGGAGGAGTTAAGTGTCCTTGTCTTAAATGTGGATGTAGATATATAATTAGTGACCCAGAGGAAATAACACGTCATTTGCATATAAAAGATTTCATTGAAAATGATTGGGTTTGGACGTATCATGGTGAACAATCAGAATAAAATCATCATATGGTCTTGAAAACAAAAGTAAATTAAGACTAAAAGAAAAAAGAGAAAAAATTATGGATTAGAAATTGAGTGAGTTGGAAGTGGTGAAAAATTGTTAGAATCGTTGATAAAAATATAAAAATTGAGGTCTATTTATAAAGGATTTTTAGGTAAAAAATAAAATGAGGTTTGTCTATTTTGGTATTATTTTGTGGATTGAGATTTGATTCATATCATGGTAAACAAGATTATGAATCTGAACAGATTTGTGACTTTTCCCAATATTGTGTCAATTTGAAATTGATTTGGTGATGAATGAAGATTGGATTCAAACGATTCTTGTATTTTTTTTAGTTTTCAAGCTATTTTGTGCATAAAATCAAAGGTTTAAAAATAAAAAATATATTTTTTAAAAATCTCAAAACTAAAAAATGAAAAATTATAATAAAAATTCCTTTTACTTTTTTGTGTTTTATTTCATAAATTAACTTATAAAAATAAAGGAGAATAATCCAAATCTAAATCTCTAAAAATGAATTCAAATTTTAATTTAAAATTAAATATACAGAATAAATTAAAAATAAAAGTAGTAATAAAATAGTGTCAAACAATTACTAATAAAATATAAAATTAACAATTAAAAATCTGACTATATTAATAATAATAATAAAATATATAATATTATAAAAAATCAAATCAAAGTCTAAAGCTAATAATAATAATAAAAAACATAAGTTAATATTTCCTAAATTCTAAAATAAAATAAAAAGAAATTAATAAACATCTAAAATTCTAAATAATGTAAAAAACATTAACAAAAAAATTGGGGAGGTAGGATTCAAACTCGAGACATCTTTCTCATATTCCTTACGCATGCTCCTTTATCAATTGTACCATATTATTTATTTAAAATAAAATGGAACTGGAAAATATATGAAAGATTGAGAAATTTTTGGGTATGTCACTTAATTTTACACGGAATAACCAATAACGTATCAGATTTTAATACTGGACTAATCTCAAACCAATCAACCTTTTGATATCAGGCTGAGCTTAAACCTATTCTTGATTTTATACTGGACTAACCAAGAACCTGACGAAAGATTTTATACAGGACGAACTTTCGCACCTAATCTTGGTTTTATATCGAGCTAACCAAGAACCTACAAAATTTTAGAACGGGCTCATCTCAAACCAAAACTAGAACTAAATCACATAATCCCAAACAATTACTTTTACGTGTTTAGCTTCTAACCAAAAAAAAAAAAATTAAATGTATATTATTCAACCAAGGTATAAAATAAACCCTTGGTGAATATCACAATTTCCCATTCCAGAATTACACTTATAGCCCCACTCACAAAATAAATTTTCTCCCAATAGCCCTTAGACTAAAATACTAGTGAGTGAAAGTTAAATAAAACTTTAGAGACGGAGAAAGATGTGTCTAAACACGATTCTGAATGAAATGAAATGAGAAAAAAAGACTTCTATTTATATGCTAGAGGTTGGCTCAAAAAAGAATTTCAAGTAAATGCGTTATATGGCAATATAATCGTTTGACACATGTTTCTAAGTGGTTAGAAGTTCAAAATGTAATGGATTGTAAGTTTATAAAAGGAAGGAAAAAATATCTAGCCATTACACATCATTAAGACATTGTCCTAATCGACTGGGAATCAATTTTAAGTTGATCTAAGTGGTTGGACAAATGCTCCAACTGATTAGAAAAGTCAAAATTCTGCCTATAGTTCTTTTGACTGCTCCTAATTTATCTAGCACAATTTCAATATATTTTTGAAGATATTTTATTTTGGTAGAAACATTTTAAAAATATTTTAGTGTGTGTGATTTTAGCCACATGCTTTTACGATAAAGCCATTATGCTTTACAATTGGTTCATTCACTACTTATTTTGGAGGGACTTTCACACTTCTAATCTTTTCCATATGATTTATCTTTTTTAGAATTTTTGTTAGTAGCTTGCTATGATGCTTTTGTTATACTCCTTTTGATTTCCATCATCTGATAGTCAAGTCTATCAAATCTTAATGCTAGGTTTGCATCTTTATCCATTTAACTGTTCATACTTGACTTATCATAAGATATTAGTTGTCATCATCAAAAGTTGATGTCCTTGTTAAACGTATATCACATGCAAAATAAGTTTTCACATCCTCTTCACCTATTCTCCTATCTTTTCCTCCACCCAATCTCACTCTAGGCCCTCTCTAAATTTGAGATTGCAAAGATGGAATGAATGAGGAAAATCAGAATTTCTCACAAAGTTTTAGTATAAAAACTTGGTCATGGAATATCTCAATTTCCCTCACTTATTAAGTCTCCCTCTCTAAATTTGAGATTGCAAAGATGGAATGAATGAGGAAAATCAGAATTTCTCACAAAGTTTTAGTATAAAAACTTGGTCATGGAATATCTCAATTTCCCTCACTTATTAAGTCTATTTACTAATCATACTATTATGTGAGATAAAAGCTTAATATAAATGCTTAATTTTAGAGATATACACCTAAAATTTTATAATAAATAAAGCATAAATAAGGTTTGGAGAATTGAGGACATTACAACATTAAAAGCTCCACCTTACCTAACAGATTACCATAACTTCTCTATATATACTACCTCACTACATCCCTTTAAACACATAACATATCTCATATACTGACCTATGACTATTGCTCACCCATATATAAATACTTTTTCTCCATTTCTTATCACAATGAACCAAAAACATTCTCTCGGGAAAATAAACTTAGATGTTGGAGGGATACCATGGCCATTGAACAATAAGCTTTTGTGTCAACCAAACTCGGAAAATTGTTTATTTTCCACCTAGAAAGGTTTCCATTGGATATAAAATTAAATATAATGATAATGGTTTTATTGATAAGTATAACTCTAGGTTGGTTTCTAAGGGATATACCCAACTAGAATGTATTGACTATGAAACCATTTTTTATCTATGATTCATTGTATAATTATTAAACTTGCACTATTACACAATCATTTGTCAAGTTTTACAATAGTGAAAAACAACTTACAATGAATGACATTGATAGTTTTATTGATCATAATTGAATTTAAAAATCTGCTAGCATTTAGTTCAAATTCCACTTGGTTTCTTTGTAATAACTGTCTTATTCATAATACACAAAGTACTTAAAATTCTATATAATCCTTCACAAACTTCTTTACGTTTGTACACATTGTAGAGAAGGTGAAACATTATCAACTATTATCCCATTAACATTGTTGCATATTGTTTTACTTGGTTTACTTGGATCAACTGCAATAAGGATGATTTGTCGCAAGGTAATATTGTCACACCCTATCTTGGCACAATCTAGCACAATTGGTTCTTCGCCAGTAAATGTTCCAGAAATATTACTAATTGTTACATTACTCACTTTAAGTGCCTGTTCCTGCAACAACAAAAAATTACATCTTATTAATACCATCAACAATCCATGAACAAAATCAATATGAGGCAAGTGAGAAAGAATATTAACCTTTTCTGGAGTTCTCATGTAATGTTGATCGAGATATATAGGGTTGTATACTTCATTAACTATGATATGATCAAAAATGATAGATTTGACGTATCCTTTTCCACCCTTAAAAAATAAATAGAAAATTTGTATATATTAAAAATAATATTCAAATATAAATATATAAAAAAAATTTATATAATTATATTTCTTTTCAATTAAATTTGTAGTATTACTGGCCATGTCTTGATTTTTACTGCACTAATAGCTCCATTAAAAGTACTATTTTTGACGTTTATATTTTCTGCAAATTCCTCAGATCCACCACCACCTAAGCTTCCCACACTGCATCAAAATATAAAGCATGCTAATTATATAGTTAATTAGTTGGCTGATTGGCACTTTAAAGTGTTTTGACATACCTAATACCATGAGTAGTAGGTCCACATGTAAGTTGAGTGACATTGATAAATTGTGAACCACCTTTAATAGCAATGCAATCATCACCTATATAGTAAAATTCAAGAGTAACCAACAATAAAAATCTTAAAATCATTAATATTCATATATAATATATATAATATATTTACCGCCTTGTATTGTGGAGTCGTAAATATTGACACGAATTGCATTTGTGAGATCAATTCCATCAGTGTTGTGACTATTGGCTGGCGTATTTATATTAATATGCGAGATTGTAACATCTTTGCTATGGACTACATATAAATGAAATCCTGGCCCGTTTAAATGAGTGATTCCACTTAATTGAAGTTCATCACATCTTTCAAATATTAAAGCCTGTCCGATATATATTAGAAGTTATTCGTATCGTAATTGATTTTGTTGTCTTGTAAATGCAAGATGATAAAAAATTGAAAAACACTTAATTTTCTTTTTGACAACTTTGAGAAGGAAATAATTAATTACCGTAGGTGATCCTACACATTGTGTAGTTGAATTATACTGCAAATTTATTTAAAAAGAATATATTGTTAGATTATTTTTTATCTACTAAACTATATTTAATTAGAAATTTAAAAATGTGTATGTCTATGTCATTACATCTTTCCACCAATCTTCTCCGTTACCATTGATCACTCCTGATCCATCAAATGTTATCCCATGCACATCAAGAAAATGAAGCCATTTTTTTGAGCACGGACCCCAATCTTTTCTATGAGGTGCTAGTATAGTTCCATCAAGCTGCGTTAATTAGATATATTAAATCCAATGCATACTTTTTCTTGTGTAAAAGTTAAACAATTATTTAATAGATAATATATATTTTTTAGTACCTTAATATGAAGATTTTGAGATTGGCAAGGACCTTTGAAAACATTTTGATGCACAAGAAATGTATGTGCAGCTGGTATCTCAAGGGTTGGAGTCCCTTCATTTGCTCCACATAAATCTTTCCATGCTTTCACAAAAGCCTTTAGAAAAAACAATGTATTAAGATTAATATTTAATTTATATAATATACAAAAACAAAGATTATTTATATAGCTAAGTATTGTAGAATGAAAAAAATATACATACATGTGTATCATCAGAAGTGCCATCTCCTTTGGCCCCATATTCAAGTACATTAAAGGTTTTTTCACCAAATCCAACCCATGAGTTACAAAATGCAATAGAAATTATCAAAAAGATAATTATGAACAAGTCCTGCAAAATGAATGTATTAATTAAATTGAAAAATTACTTGCTAGATGAAATGAACTATATATATTTTTACTAACCATGAGTGTTTATGCAAACTAATATTGTGTATAGTTAATTGCTTATAACTGTAATGACTATACGCCATATATATATAAAATGTCTTTTGTGCACTTTTAATAAAAGATAATTTTTTGTCAAAAAAATAAAAGATAATTTAATTGTTAGTTAGCTAATAAGAAAAAAATTAGCTAATGAGATTCTCTATAAAGTAAATAAAGTCGGAATCATTTTTATTAATTCATTGAAAATAAGAAATAATCATATGATATGGTCTAATACGTGTAGCTTTACACAAGATGTAAATAACATAAAACTATTGTTTTTAATTTGTTTTTTCTTTAACAAGCTCTTTTTTTTTAGTAAAGAAATAAATATTGCTTAAAAATTTTCATCCATTTTTATTCGTATTTGAACCTCTAAATTTTCATCCATTTTTATTCGTATTTTCCTCAAATATTTATCTTTATTAGTATATTATGAGAAAAGAAATATAAAAAAAAAGTTATTTATCATTGCTTTATAGCATTGAACGTGAATAGTTGAAAAAAGTTTATTGAATGGAATTAGATTCTCTCTCACTTTTTTTAATGCTCTCTGTCATGAGTAATTTTGAGTTGTTGGATTAATTCAACATTTTTTTTTACTAAAAACGACGATAATTTATTTAAATTGATAGAATACATCAAATAATATAAATTTAAAATTTTATTAAATTAAAACACTACAAAAAAGAAGCTTAGTTGCCACGTGAAAATCATGTGGCAAACATCAAAATCACGTGGCAAGTCAAAATTAGCGACGTGGTGAGTTATGTCGCTGGGGAGTAAGTGGCAAGCAAGTAGCGACGTGATTCCCACGTCACAAAGTTGTGACGTGGTATTCACGTCGCTACATATTTGTTAATGACAGCTTTATTAGCGACGTGAGAATCATGTCACTAATTTGTGACATGATTCCCACGTCGCTACAGGGGACGTTTATATTTTTTAAAAAATTGTTAATAATTAATTTTTATATTAATTCATTAATGTAATAAAATTTAAATAATAAAATTTATATAATAAAATTTAAATAATAAAATTTATATAATAAAATTTATATATTAAAATTTATATAATAAATTTTATATAATAAAATTTATATATTAAAATTATTAGAATAATAGTATTTTATTTTATATTTCGAATAATAGAATTTTATAAAATAAATTCACATAATTAAATGTTATATAATTTATTAATTTAAAATGATAAAAATAAATATATCTTACATAAATGCAAATATAAAAACGAAATAAAAAAAATGTTTTCACGGGGCATCTTCACCCGGAAAATTATCAAGATCAAAGTCATCAAGTCCGTCATCATCCGGTTGTGTATGATCAGGAACATTTTGATTTCGACCGCCTTGCATAAACTGTCTCATCTGCTCCTCCATATCAGATTGCCGCTTCCGCATGATCTCTAACTGACGCTCCTGCTCTTGCCTCATTGTCGTCATTTGGGCCTCCATTTCGCGTCTCACTTCACTGGCCGCCAATTGTCGTACTGTTTCAAGTTGAACCTGAGTCAGATTGGGTTGACGTGACCCCCCTTCTCCATCTCTAAGTCTTTGAAACAGATTACGATCACCAACTCTCAAGCCGGCGGCCAAATTTCCTCCCGCAAAAAAGCAAACATTAGGCCCTTTTCCATTAACAACCTCATTCCAAATATAGAAATCAACATCCCCATTAAGCGGCTCCCCCTCTGCTGGCCTGTATTGCGGATTGTGTTCCAGAAAACGTGCTAGCAATGTCTGATAATCATCCTACACATACATTAAATAATACAATTAAAAAAAAATTAAAACATTTATATATTAAATTATACTAAATTCAAATATATTAAAAATTTGTCACGTGATTTTCACAAATCAACTTATGAATTGCCACGTGAGTTTCCCGTGGCAATGTATCAGTTGCCATATGAAAATCAGTCACCTGGCAATTTATCAGTTGCCACATGATAATCACGCCACAACTTATAGATTGCCACGTGGAAATAACGTCACTATTTTTGTTATTAACTTAAAAAAAAAACATAAGTTTAATTACTTACAAAAGCTTTCTGGGTGCGGTCGTCGACAAAACCTCCCGATTTTTTTGTCCGAGTCCTCGTAATCAACTCAATGATCAACGGTGGTCTCCCCATCTCCTTAGTCTAAACAATAAAGTTAAAAATAATTAGTAAAAAATATTATGAATAAAAATATATATAACTTAAAAAATTAGTAATATTTACCATCCGCCGGACATGCTCTGCAGTGCTAATACTTCCAACAGTATTGACACATCCCCCCTTTTCGGATGCCCTCATCTTCTTAAAATTTTCGGATTTGGCCTTGAATTCAGGCGAACTCCAATATGTACGAAGTTCGCCAAAAACCTCTACGCCTATCCAGTTAGGACGGATACCATGCAGCTCATAATTCTCCCTAACCCGCCGCATGATATCAGAAAATCTTCTAGAAGTTCTGCTATAATATATTTTTTCCATTATTTTCTCATTCAACGGATCCCACACACATTTTTCCTGCAATGTTGTATGACATTAAAATAAAAAGTTAAGCAATTATCATTAAAATGTGACTTAAATAACAATACTAAAAAAATATAATAAATTTACAACTTAAATAAATAACAATACCTTAAATTTTTTAAACCATTCTTCTTTATTTGTAACCTCGCCAAAGTTCTTCCAAGAGGATTTATACATCTGCTGGATTATATAATTAATAACCTTGGCAGCCGTCCGACTCGGCGCGAAACTAAACAACAAGATTTTGAATAAACAATATTAATTATAAATTTATACAAAATATTAAAATGAATATGTACTTAAATAAAAGTTTATATAAGAAACTTACTTGCTTCCTTCGGGCCAAATCCAAAACCTCCCGTCAATTACATGAATCTCACTCGGATCATCTGATCTCTCACGACTATCAGCTCCATCTATATCATCAGCTACGACATCTGCATCACCGCCAGCCTGTGTAGGACGTGGGGTGCTGGATCCTGCAGCCTGTGTGGGATGAGGGGTGCGTGACCCTCCGGTCCGTCTAGGACGTGGGGCGCGGGATCCTGCAGCTGCAACCACATCATTAATTTGTTCAACGTCATCAACTTGGTAGGCAACATCTTCCACTAGATCTCCAGTTTCAATATGACCTAGCGGTTTTGTTTTTATTACAACACACCATCCTCTTTTACGTATTACAAATGAAGGATAAGGAACATAATAAACTTGCCTAACAATATGTGACATTATGAAAGGGTCATATTCTTTGTATCTCCGGTTCATTTGAATCTCGACAGAACCATATGACTTGTCTATCTTTGTGCCTCTAGTTGGATCATACCATTCACAATAAAACAAGACAACTTTATTTTCCGTGTCCAAGTAATTGTATACCAACTCGTAGATATGTTTAACAAATCCATAGAAGTCGTCTTCACCGCCATCTGTAACTCCTTTTACAAAAACACCACTATTTATGGTTTTTTTCCCTTCGGTCCATGCCTCAGTGTGAAATTTATATCCGTTCACGAAGTATGTGTGCCAATCATTTGCGCTTTGGATAGGGCCTTCTGCCAAGTTTCTCAAATGGAGTATTTCTGGAGTTAGTGCAGGAACGCTAGACAATGTTTGCTTGAACCATGAGGGAAATTGAGCATGAATGACACCTGATGTTGACTGTACCCCGGTACTATGAAAATAGGCATTGTTAAATTCCCTATAAAAAACACACAATAAGTTTAATAAGTTTGGTATACACACACCATAAGTTTAAAAAGTTTTGGTAAACTCACTCAAGATATGGTTTAACTTCAACGCAGTTGATCAAGACATGGACATGTGCAGATTGCATTTCTTTTTGGGTCAACCAATGCACACCCTTCTTTCCAAAAGGTCGACCTGGTAGCGCAAAGACTGATAAGGTGAATTGACTCCTCTGATTGACATTTACAGGATTCCGTATGATTCTAGGAGTTAACATCAAGTGATTGAAATAGTGACTGCAAAAATGTGATGTTTCCCGATGCAAGTAATGTGCACATATAGATCCTTCTACTCTAGCTTTATTTTTTACCGATCTCTTTGAATCACCCATGAACCTTTCAAACGGATACATCCACCTATATTGAACAGGTCCACCAAGATAAGCTTCATATGCAAGATGCACGGGTAAATGTTCCATGGAGTCAAAGAAACCAGGCGGAAATACTTGTTCCAACTTACAAAGAATGAGTGCAATGTTTTGGTCCAACTTAATGATGTCTTCCACTTTTAAAGCTGACGCACAAATATCTCTAAAAAATTGACTAATTTCAGTTAGTGGGTCAAGAACATGTTTGGGTAGCGATCCAAATGCAATTGGTAGCAACTGTTCCATAAAAATGTGACAATCATGACTTTTCATACCATGTAATTTTCCAGTGTTAGGGTCAGCACACCTTGCTAAATTTGATGAATACCCATCGGGCATTCTCAATTCTTTTAACCATCTACAAACCGCTTTAGCTTCTTGGGAAGTCAGACTGAAACAAGCCTTGGGTTTTAATAATTTTCCATTCGGTTGAGGCTTCAACTCCAACTCTCTTCGATTACACCAAATTCCCATGTCTTGTCTGGCCTTCTCATTATCTTTTGTTTTTCCTGTCACATCCATCACTGTGTTAAATACATTATCAAAAAAATTCTTCTCAATATGCATAACATCAAGATTATGGCGCAACAAATTATCTTTCCAATATGGAAGATCCCAAAATATACTTCTTTTTGTCCAATTGTGGGTGACGCCGTATCCTTCAATTCGGCATGCTTTCCCAGTATCTGTAAATTTTGGTAGTTCACATACTTGGTTCCATATAACCCCTGGTGGCAATCGAGGCGGAGGCAAATCTTTCTCTCGTACATCTTTTTTAAAATTTGTCTTGTTTCTTCTATACGGGTGATTTGCTGGTAGGAATCTGCGG